AGGACGGATAACATTCTCTTTGATTTTTTTGGGGGGATATGACATTTTTTTTTCACTACCAATAAATGTTAAATATATTTTAGTAATCTCCAAAACAATTGATTGATAGGCAATATTTTTATATTTTGTTGGACAGTTGGGCTATCAAGGATAATATCTAGTTCAGGTGATTGAATTTTTATTCTATCGGATTTCAGATTTCTCTTAAATCTACTTTTTACGATTTACTACCGGTACTTTAATTAGATTGCAGTACTAGTACCTCATATTACAAACCAAATACATGTATGATCAAATATACATAATGTCATCTTATCTACTGCTTATTATCCCAGATATCCAAATTATTATAAAGAAATTAAAATACTTTCTTTCATTAAAAATGAAATTACGACGTCGGCTGAGAGGGCATTGTATATATTATCCGTTACATTTATTATCAACACCTTGTACATATATTCTTTTCGAAAATAAAACAGTTAAATAGAACAAACAAAACTATCCGTCACAATGATATATGAGGGTCTGGATTAAGGTGAAAAAAGGGGGGTGGAGGTTGGGGGGTTTTACATTTCTGTATTCTGTAATTCTTTTGGTCATTTTTCTCTATTCAGTAAGAAATATGCTTATTCTGTAAATTCTTGTGTTCAGATCGTGCATATGAAAATTTCCTGTTGTATCATGATTTTGACTTGATAGATCTTTTTGTCTGTATCAACGACATATGTATGACGACACTACCCCGTGACCCCTCACCCCTGAATCTGTCACTGTACTGCATAAATGATACCATTTATCAATTTTGATTAATATCTGATTAAAACAAAACACGGGGAAAACTATTTTAATTTCTTTATAATAATTTGGATATCTGGGATAATAAGCAGTAGATAAGATGACATTAGGTATATTTGATCATACATGTATTTGGTTTGTAATATGAGGTACTAGTACTGCAATCTAATTAAAGTACCGGTAGTAAATCGTAAAAAGTAGATTTAAGAGAAATCTGAAATCTGATAGAATAAAATTCGATCACCTGAACTAGATATTATCCTTGATAGCCCAACTGTCCAACAAAATATAAAAATATTGCCTATCAATCAATTGTTTTGGAGATTATTAAAATATATTTAACATTTATTGGTAGTGGAAAAAAAATGTCATACCACCCAAAAAAAAATCATAGACAATGTTATCCGTCCTCGAGTATCAGTCTTCCAGCCCTTACCAATAAATTATTGTTTTAAATTGTAATAGATTATGGATCTTACAAATATGAAACTGAAGACGACATCAGAAGACACCATGTGACAATTTTAAATAGTCAATTGTTTTAGTGTAACAGAGCTGCTTTTTTTTCTTAGATCTACAAAAAAACAAAAAAAAAACGAACTGGATGTTTTTATATCAATATTAATGCAAGTAAATAATTTTAACCCGTTTTCAATATTAAAGATCTGAAACTTTTATTATTAATATAAATTTGATACAGAATTTAATACGATTAAACAATTTTGCAAGTAGTCATAAAAATTGCTCTGCCTAATGAGTTTAATAAATCATATTGCACAGGGATAGAAGCTTTTAAATACTTTCTTTCATTAAAAATGAAATTACGACGTCGTCTGAGAGGGTATGGTATATATTGTCCGTTACATTTATTAACAACACCTTGTACAAATATTCTTTTCGAAAATAAAACAGTTAAATAGAACAAACAAAACTATCCGTCACAATGATATATGAGGGTCTGGATTAGGGTGAAAAAAGGGGGGGGGGGGGGTTACATTTCTGTATTCTGTAATTCTTTTGGCCATTTTTCTCTATTCATTAAGAAATATGCTTATTCTGTAAATTCTTGTGTTCAGATCGTGCATATGAAAATTTCCTGTTGTATCATGATTTTGACATGATATATACTTTTTGTCTGTTTCAACGACATATGTATGACGACACTACCCCGTGACCCCTCACCCCTGAATCTGTCACTGTACTGCATAAATGATACCATTTATCAATTTTGATTAATATCTGATTAAAACAAAACACGGGGAAACTTTTTAAAAGCTTCTCTCCCTGTGCAATATGATTTATTAAACTCATTAGGCAGAGCAATTTTTATGACTACTTGCATAATTGTTTAATCGTATTAAAATTCTGTATCAAATTTTAATTATATTAATAATAAAAGTTTCAGATCTTTAATAAGGAAAACGGGTTAAAATTATTTACTTGCATTAATATTGATATAAAAACATCCAGTTCGTTTTTTTGTGTTTTTTTGTAGATCTAAGAAAAAAAGCAACTCTGTTACACTAAAACAATTGACTATTTAAAATTGTCACATGGTGTCTTCTTATGTCGTCTTCAGTTTCATATTTGTAAGATCCATAATCTATTACAATTTAAAACAACAATTTATTGGTTAGGGCTGGAAGACTGTGATACTCGAGGACGGATAACATTGTCTATGATTTTTTTTTGGGTGGTATGACATTTTTTTTCCACTACCAATAAATGTTAAATATATTTTAATAATCTCCAAAACAATTGATTGATAGGCAATATTTTTATATTTTGTTGGACAGTTGGGCTATCAAGGAAAATATCTAGTTCAGGTGATCGAATTTTTATTCTATCAGATTTCAGATTTCTCTTAAATCTACTTTTTACGATTTACTACCGGTACTTTGATTAGATTGCATTACTAGTACCTCATACATGTATTACAAACCAAATACATGTATGATCAAATATACCTAATGTCATCTTATCTACTGCTTATTATCCCAGATATCCAAATTATTATAAAGAAATTAAAATAGTTTTCCACGTGTTTTGTTTTAATCAGATATTAATCAAAATTGATAAATGGCATCATTTATGCAGTACAGTGACAGATTCAGGGGTGAGGGGTCACGGGGTAGTGTCGTCATACATATGTCGTTGATACAGACAAAAAGATCTATCATGTCAAAATCATGATACAACAGGAAATTTTCATATGCACGATCTGAACACAAGAATTTACAGAATAAGCATATTTCTTACTGAATAGAGAAAAATGGCCAAAAGAATTACAGAATACAGAAATGTAAACCCCCCCCTTTTTCCCCCTAATCCAGACCCTCAAATACCATTGTGACGGATAGTTTTGTTTGTTCTATTTAACTGTTTTATTTTCGAAAAGAATATTTGTACAAGGTGTTGTTAATAAATGTAACGGACAATAAATACCATACCCTCTCAGCGGACGTCGTAATTTCATTTTTAATGAAAGAAAGTATTTAAAAACTTCTCTCCCTGTGCAATATGATTTATTAAACTCATTAGGCAGAGCAATTTTTATGACTACTTGCATAATTGTTTAATCGTATTAAATTCTGTATCAAATTTATATTAATAATAAAAGTTTCAGATCTTTAATATTGAAAACGGGTTAAAATTATTTACTTGCATTAATATTGATATAAAAACATCCAGTTCGTTTTTTTTGTAGATCTAAGAAAAAAAAAGCAACTCTGTTACACTAAAACAATTGACTAATTAAAATTGTCACATGGTGTCTTCTTATGTCGTCTGAATTACAGTGTAAGTTATTGATCTGTAATTTATATATTCGCCATCCGTAATTATTATCTAAAATGTTTATTTGACATGCCATCCTCGATAGAAGTGCGGACGTGAAAGAAAGCACTCTTCACCAAAACGTGAACGGAGATTACATTCCACGGAGATTACATTTCGATGATTTCGTCATTTATAAAAGGGGGGTCATAAAACATAAAACGTGAATCTGAAGATAGAAGTTGTATTAAAATTGAATGTTGACACCGATATCGATCTGTTGCATGTAGAATTTATTTTCAAAATAGGTGTTTGTTTAGAATATACCATTCCACGGAGATTACATGCTTAACAAATCTCTGCAGTTTTCAAAGTTGTTTAGTTTTCAAGACTGATATGATTTGGAATAAATGACCATTTAACAAAATTATTTATGGTAACCTTATAAACAAAATTATTTATGGTAACCTTATAATCAAATTTGACTCATATCACACTCTATGTTGTGCTAATTTGAAATATTTAGTCTTGCTTGGTCTTCTATCCGTTAACGGGAATTACAGGTTTACGAAGAAAACATTATGACGGCCGGTACGATCACTATCGTTGTGCAGTATGTACTAAACTTTATAAAAATTAAAAATATAGATAATAAAGAAATATAAAAAATCTCAGATATAAGTATAACAAGCTACGGGTATATAATTCGAAGTCGTTAGTTTTGCTTTGTTACGGTGGGACAAATCAGCGTCATAAAATGGGCGCTTTACCGGAGAACCAGTGAGTAGCGCAAAGCTAACAAAACCTGCGTTTTAGGAGTAAGTGCATGGGACCTATTTGTATCATTTTTATATCTGGTTCTATTGCCAATGTTGTTTCATTGATACTGTGTCTATCCAGTCTGTATCTGGATATAATATCCATTTCATTTTCAAAATGATCAAATGAAGAAAGTGTGGTTCTAATATTGAAGATTCTTCTTCGTCTTCTAACATTTGCGACATCTTGATCGAGAATAAAGACATCTCAGATATGGTTTAATTCATATTTGCGGAAAAACTACGATCGAGATACGACTGGGTATAGCTGTAGTAAGTTACGCCAGGATTTACGTATTATTTACGCTCATCTTAACTTACGACGGCTTTGTGAAACGGCTGTAAAATCTACGATTTATTTACGATGAACGTACGATGACACGTAGACTTACGAAGGCTTTGTGAAACGGTACCCAGGTTTATAATTGTGTATGCCAGACGCTCTCTTCTTCTAAAAATACTCATCAGTGACGCTTGAATCAAAATCGTTAAAAGACCGAACAAAGTACTAATTTGTAATGCATTGAGTACCGAAAATTTCCGAAAGGTTTTAATGATTTGTTCTTATGTTTATTCATTGTTTTATTTATCATACATTTATGTTTTTTTCAGATTTTTCCTGCTTACTCTCCTTGTAGTTTGTGTGATTTTTATATCTATGCCATTTATAGGAAAACACTCAACTGTGATATTTTATGAAGCTGCATTTTATAATGTTTCCGTTGGAAAAAATACTCAACGTCATTCTAGACAAGGTTATTCAGAAGCTTTTAATATAAAATCCTCTAAAGAACAAAAACAATTACGTTCTGTGCACAGAGAGACTACAACACAGTTTACCACAACGAAACAACTAGATGTTTATACTGAAAAATTACCAACTGTAAGACATGAAAATAAAAGTACAACTATAAGAATGTCACAATCGATAAAATTATCGAAGTGCCATAACCCAATAAACCATGTAGCCTTTTTAAAAGTGCACAAAGCCAGTAGCACGACTGTAATGAATATCTTCCTCCGATATGGAGATTCGCACAGACTAAATATAGTTCTTCCAAAATCCGTAAAACAAAGTGCCTTCAACTATTTGGGTTATGGCGTAACAGTTCAGAAAAAAAGGATAAATAAAATTCCAAGCAACGAGACATATAATATTTTATGTAATCATGCTGTATTTGACAAGGAAGCGTTTGCAGAACTTCTGGGACCACATTCATTTAACATAGGAATCGTTCGTGACCCATTTACACATTTTCCTTCCGCTGCATATTACTACGGTTTACTTAGTCGTATTAAAAAACGATTTAGTGACATAAAAGATGCCGAAGAGCTACTTTCAATCTTCTTAAAAACACCTGATTCATTTGGTTCCATTTTACACATACACAACGGAATGTTTTCAGATTTTGGACTTCCAAAGAAAGACTTTTATAATGAAGAAGCAATTAATAAACGCATCAACGATTTAGATAAGGAATTTTCGTTAGTCATGGTAACAGAACTATTTGACGAATCTCTAATATTGATGAGAAGAATTTTGTGCTGGGAAATCAAGGACATTCTTTATGTACCTCTGAATATTAATAAGAATAAGAAAAAAAATCCAATAGTCCTCACTGAAGACACAAAGAAGAATTTATTCAAATATAATTATGCTGATTTTAAATTGTACATGTACTTTAGAGATAAATTGTTAGAACAAATCAAAGATGAAGGTGAGGATTTCTATTCAGAAGTTAGATATTTCAAAAAAGTTCATGTGATAGTTACAAAATTTTGTCACGAGAGTTATTTAAAGAAGTTTTCAAATTCTGCATCTATCGTTATAAAAGCTTCAGTCTGGAATAAAGCTTTTACAATTAATTCACAAGAATGTAAATTTATGATGTCTTCCGAACTGCCTTTACTTAAAGGATTGATGAGTAAGGCTGAAACACGGTATAATAACTGGCTCGAATCAATGATTGAAAGTTTTTCTGGCAACAAGGCTGTATTTCAAAAGAGAAACGTAATCTCATGAGTGAACTTATATTTAACCGGAAGAATTCTAAAGAATATTTTTGCCGGAACCGGAAACACAATGTTCGAAAACGAGGGTAAATTTCTGTCTCAGAGTCATCTTAATACAGTTTTGTTTACGATAATCATTATTTGTTTTCTGAGAGATTCATGTCATACGTTGTTTTAAGTTTTGTTAAGTGATAGAAAAAATATCGATCTTTGAAATCGTCTCATATCAATCAATTTGTTATTTTTCGTTGAATAAAATAACTACTACATGTAGTATCCGTGGGAAAACGCCTTTAGATTTTTTTTTATCATATTGAGAGGTTGAATAAAATAAAGAAAAACTTTGAATACACACATGTAAAAAAGAGTGAAAATGATATCAAACAAGTTTATGACAGTAAATGTTTGATGTCCTTGAAAGATTTAATTTTATTGAAATCACTCCGAGGTTTTGATCTTTAATTCATAGTTGTGGCGTGATCGTCCGTTTGCAAAGAATTTCGATCAAACCGGTGCTAGTGGTGGTCTTAAACTTTCAGTGAGGTGAGAGATTTTGCTCCATGTTGAAGGCCTCACTGTGACTTTGCGACGAAGAACAGCAATAACTGAACTTAATGTAAATTTGATGACTTTTACACAAAGGATTGAACTTTGCTCTCGGTAAGCAATGATTTTTTCTGAAAATTTGATTCTTGCCAACTTAACCGTTTATAATTTGGTATTGTATTACATGTATATTTAGCTATGGGATAAACCTCGAATTATCATCTTTGTTTGTACATTTGTTGTCTTGGAGATGTCAGGTGTTGGTGATTGGTGTGGTATCTTGAACTGTTCAATTTTTTGGATAGTTCCTTTGTACCTTACTCGTGAATGACCGGAATGGTAAACATGATAGGTTCACAATACAAGTCTTCTCACAATACAAGGAGCCTGTTGTTCAGTGGTTGTCGTTTGTTGGTGTGTTTCATAAGTGTTTCTCGTTTTTCGTTTTTATATATATTAGAACGTTGGTTTTCCTGTTTGAATTGTTTTAAACTATAGTCTTTTTGGTGTGAGCCAAGGCTCTGTGTTGAAGGCCGTACTTTGACCTATAATTATTTACTTTTTACACATTGTGACTTGGATGGATAGTTGTCTCATTGGCACTCATACCACATCTTCTTATTTATATTAGTCTATTCACAAGAGCAGATGATGTGTTATACTTTCTATGAGTATAATTCGGTATCGTATGAAAAGGGAAGCAATCCACTTCTAAATTTGATAAATATGACTGCTATCATTTATCAAGACTCGACCTTTTTGTGATAGCGATGATTAAAGTTAGTCATGAGAATAACAAAAAAATACAGAACACATTTTTGGTGGTTTGAGATACCCGATATACTTTTTATTGGGCAATCTGTGTGGCAATAAAAGATATCTAAAATCATCGAGTGTATTACTAAGTACCATGTTTAAAGCTACATGTAGGTTCATCTTTGTCTGATTGTCTGATGCTGAGCTAACCTAAGGTACTCCTATTTTATGGCTGGATACATGCGTTGTAGATTATCTTCAAACATATCAAAATATATATAAATTAGTACAATATATTCGCGTACCAGAAGCTGTCAATGACTAAGTCTAGCTTAAGGTTTTTCATATACCCTCCCCCTCGGACAAAAGAGGATGAATAAGAAGATGTTTATTTCCATTAAATGGGCTCACAAGGAGCATAGTACAATATAAGACATAAATAAGACAATAACAAAAAGAAACAACAATAGTCTAGTATACATAGAGTTTGAACATCATGAACTACACAATACATAAATATATATATTCCCTCCTTCTCAGGTATACCCCGACATGAAAAAAATTTATAAAATAAATTGGCAATGATTGGATGTTTAGCTTAACTGCAAAAGCCACCAAGGGACGGTGCTGCATGGCAAGGTGGGAGATAGACTCACATGGTACGTATACATGAATGTAAAATAGATAAATTGGTAATGATATTATGTGCAGATGCACAAACCTGGTATGTCATCCTCGTGCCTGATGCAGAAGGGGTTGATACATATTGTAAGATGACCCGACCGCAAGAGGCACCAAGGGTAAATGCTAATTGACATGCCAAAGTTTTCATAGTACCAAACAGAAAAACACTTAAATATAAAATATGGGAATAATTCTGATTGTCAATTATAAAATAAATTCAAGAAGGTACACTATTATTATCATAGGTGAGTCTACAAAAAAAAACATGCCATCCTCGTGCCTAATGCAGATACGCTAGATCTATATTTTGCCTTCATCAATCAGATTACAAACAGATATCAATATATCAACATTTTCTACATTTAAAAGTAGCCAGATTAGTTTTTGGCTAGGAATCTACGTGCTTAAAGTTAGGACACAGTGAGTTGATCATGGAGTACATACAGTTTCTACTAGTTAAAGATGATGTACATGAAAATAAAAAGTGTTTTTCATCGTCAATTTCATTTGAGGTGCACCTGAGACATATTCTGTTTTGTCGAGAAATACCAGGGTATCTACCTTGTTCAATTCTAAGTCTATGTGAGGAAATACGTAATCGAGTAAAATCTCCTCCTCTCAGGGGATAAGATATTTCTCAAAACCAAAATTGGAACAGCCTTCCTCTGAGTATTGTTATGAGCGACTCTATAGAGTCGTTCAAAACAGCCATCTCAACCTACACCTACAGTCAGTAAATTTATCATGTGTAAATAGTTTTATCTTAATATTAAAAATAAATAAAATAAAAATATGCACTACCACTATGTAAAAATGTTATTATCAATTTTTGTTTTTTAATTATAAAAAATGTTAAATTTTTCACTGTATATACGTCTCCACAAAGCAATGCGCAGTACAAGTTACATAAGCTTCAACGTGTTGAAGGCGGTCACTACAAAGTAGAAGTAGAAGTAGGTCTTGAAAGTGCTATAGCTACAGAGCTTTCCATCAGAACAGTCGTGCAATTTGAGTCTCCACTGATCCTCATAGTACTGGTACAGAAATTTCTTGTATAAAAATTTTAAGCTGTAATTACATGTAGAAGCTAAATTGCTAACCCCTTTAATATTCTTTAGAAAGAAGTTTAAGGATCCATACAATGAAGGAATTTTTGACTCATGTAGTAATTTTGACTCTAAATATGCCTCCTTTAGAAGTGGAAAAGATGATCCAAAGTTTTCAAGCCTGTGCCAGTATCTGATCACAGACTTTGCAATGTCAAAATGCTGAGTTAATCTACCGAGTTCAGAAAGAGTAGCAATATTTGTTGCTCTTTTGGTAACACCAAGTAAATGTTTACAAAATTTAATGTGTAGTCTTTCTGAAAGAAGCTTAGGATAAGGCTGATCTACATTTGTAGTCATAGATTTTATTTTTTTTTTAAAGTGTTAAAATATCCCCAAATTTCTGAACTATATAAGAGAATAGGTTTATTTGTATGATCAAATACATGAAGGCTTTTTTTTAAACTTGGATTCAGTGACAGAAAGTCCTTGCGTAGCTTATGGTAGGCTTTTAACGCCTTCTTATACAATTCTCTCTGAGCGAAGGAAAAAGATCCAGATGAACTAAAAGTTATTCCTAAATATTTACAATGTTGAGCACAATCAATAAGTATGTTATTAATGTATTCTTTTGTATTACAATACTTATCAATAATAGTTTTTAGAATAAACATATTGTCAGATGGTCGTGCTTTTTTGGTAAACCCAATTTGGCTATCATCAATGATATGATATATATCTAAGAATTTACAAAGACGAATGAATAATGACACGCATGTTTCGTCTGCCCGTCTGTTACTCTTCCGGTTTCTGAATGAACATAAAGTATCGCTTTAACAAATCTTTTGAAAATTAAAAGCAAAGTAATGAAGATTAAAATACAGGTCAAGTAAGATTTCGACGGCTTTGACATTTACTTTTCAAGGGTTTTGTCCTTTAGCTTTACTTAAACATTTTGATGTAATTGGTCTCCGGATGATGAGTCAGACAATAGTACCACTTGGTGAAATCTCTTCAGATTTTAACATTATGCCATGAACAATAATACAGGTTAATTTCAATTTTGACAAAACTCACATAAAGTGTATTTGTCCAAGAGTTATGAAACTTTAAAAATCTGAAAAATATTTTTTTTTAATTCCTATTATAAACTTAAAGTACACATTGACAGATGCATTATGGAATTTAACATAGTTGCAACTTTAACTTCCCGAGAAGAGAAAAAAAAAAACAAGTATTAGATGTAGACGAATGGCCTAAACTCATGACACATGTTTAAGTCCTTTGATCCATCGTATATATTATAATGAAATTGACCTACATATGATATACAACCATTATTTATGCAAGCGATCGCACTTTAAAGACGATTAAACTGTTACATTTGACATGTATCGCTCGATGATTAAACATTAAATGATCGAATAAAGATGATTAAATAGAAATAAATGTGTCAGTGGCGGATATGACAAGTCTTTATACTTAACATCTGCAATTAATATGGTGTTTCTTAACTGGTAAAAAGATGATGTGTCATTTTCAATTTCCTAACAACTGTTCGTTTATTTTAACTGTTGAAAATGTAGAAAAATAGCATAACATGTATGATTTACTATTGATATTCAAAACATTTTAGATTGATAATGTATCAAATACATTTAATGTAAGAAACGCTCTTCCTTTCTCCATAATATTTGTACCTGTGATACCAACATAAGCATGATGTCACAGTGGCTCTACCGTTTTCGTCTTTTTCAATACTCTGAAGTTTGAGGTTTCATTTTCTCTATATAAGAGGGTCTGGTTGGGGTTTACAGAAAAAAGAATAAAAGGCAAAACTTGCAGAAGAACGGTAAAAAAAAAACCCAAAAAAATTACAGAGAAAAACAGGGCAAAAAAGTAAAAGAATTACTGTTACTATTGAGATGTGCATGGCATATAATTGGAACTCGAAAGAGGTTGAATACGAATGAAAGAAAAAGTTTGCGTAAACACCAGCGAGACAACAAAGCATCAGCACGAAAATAAAGGTCACATACGAAAATAAAGGTCAACATATTACGATCTTCACAGTGTGCGTTAGACTATTCAAAAATGTTTATAAATGAATTCAGGGGCCTTGGTGGCCCAGTGGTATCAGTAGTTCATCTACCGTATACACTAGCCTGTCAACACTGATCGGTGTGAGTTCGAACACCACACGTGGCAGGTGGGTTCGACTCCAGTCTTAATTGACTAGATTTTCAAGTTTCCTGCCGAAGGTCGCTGTTTCACGCCTGTTTTTTTTTTTTTTTATCACACTGAGGTTTCTAAGTTTATAGGTTTGTGCACTTATGGAATTTGTCTGCCTATATTTGTAATTTAAGGTAAGTTAGGGTTGATTACTAGGATAAATCACATTGTGCTGTCTTCGCGTTCTCGAATAAATGAGCATTCGGCACACCTCGGCAGATCTATAAACCAAGGGTAAGCGGAATCTGCCGAAGTTTGCCGATTGCGTATACGTAAACGAGGACTAGACCAATCGGAGACTTTTCATGATGCAAAACCAACGGTCCATTGTCTTTATGCTTTCATATTTGGAACCTATACAAATCTTTCCTAAGAGGAACCTGATTTTAACCCAAACTTTTCATCTTGATAATATCCACATTTACTTTGAAGCGCGACTTTTGTAATTCATGAATCAATTCACGTTGATGCAA